TCTTTGTTTAGGAGGAAAACGTGATGACAAGAATGATTAGTGCTCAGCTGGCTTATGGCTACGAATATCTGGGTAACTCAGGCCGTCTGGTCATCACCCCCCTCACTGATCGATGTTATAGGTAAAGTCTTCCATTCTTCGCGTTCTATGAATTAACTTGCACGTTTACAGGCCGAAATGTAAGCAGTGACGTCGAGTTGAAGTCGCACGTATCAATAGGCCACTTCCGAGTTCCAAAAACCCTCACTTTCAAAATGAGGCTAGGTGCACAACCTTTCAGGTGAAAATGAGTTTTATTTGCATGAGAATGAAAAATGAATTCCATATCAAAGGCTGAGCACCTTCCCCCGTTTTGAAACAGAGGCCCCGGGGGAACTCGAAAATGGCCTATTTGTGAACGAAATTCTGTGATGTTACTATTCAACTGAAACGTCCTCAGCAGTACTTTCACGTGGTACTATCTGTTAACCAGTGTATGGCAGAATGAAATTTGCGATTTTGTTTTTGTAATTTTGATCTTTTCGTTGGCTTTTTTATGCGTGTTTTACAGGACTCTCTTTGGAGCACTGCAGCTCCACTTAGGGGGAGCCCCAGAGGGACCTGCTGGCACAGGCAAGACTGAAACAACAAAGGATTTGGCAAAAGCTGTAGCAAAACAGTGTGTTGTGTTTAACTGCTCCGATGGTTTAGATTACATTGCACTTGGCAAATTCTTCAAGGTAACGGCTAGTACCAATCTAAGGATCAGTATAAGATTCTGAAAAAGTGGCTACCTACCCCCCTCCCAACATTTTATTCCAAGTGAGAAGTCACTATTAACGTCACTATCAACTTGGAAGGTTCCCAGAATAGTTTACTCAACAGATAAGAGAGTACGAATAAGAGATACATTCTAGCTTCTCGATAGAGAAAAAGTATCTACCAGCTGTATTTACCAGAAAGTATGTACCAGTTGTCTTGGCGTAAAATGCCCCCATAAAACCAAGACGATTGCTTTTAAGAGGTTACATTCTTCACATTTCTTGACTACGTCTGTCGGTAAAAGCAACAGCAAAGGGCAGTCGTCGATGAAAGCCCCACTACGAAGCTGTTGCCCTTGTTTTAGTGAGCTTTTCTCGTTTTACGCTTTGTACAAACCAAGCAGTCTTAAATTTCCCCTTAGGTCTGTCTTGACATATGAATTCACGTCATTTGGCGCAATTTCTATTTTATTTCGTTCACAGGGTTTGGCATCGTGTGGGGCGTGGTCCTGTTTTGATGAATTTAACCGCATCGATTTGGAAGTGTTATCAGTGGTAGCACAGCAGATCTTAACCATTCAAATGGGTATGTACTCACCCATTAGGGAGCTTAAGCAACAGCGTTTTTGAGCGACGGACGTCAACCGGAAGTGGACGTTGTGCATCATTGGGGAGCGGTTTGGTTGAAACTCTCGGGTAAATCGTCTTTAAAAGAGAAAAGAAACTCAGCAATACAAGTTTGTTAGCGTCAAGGCATATAAAAAGGGAGAAGGCCTCACTTCCGGTTGACGTGCCTCGCTCAAAAACGTCTTTGCTTAAGGTCCCTATTACCTCTTGTACAACTGTTTAGGGGAACAAAATTCGAGGAAATGAGGGGATCTCCCGGCTAACATTTTTCCCTGGTTGAAAGTTTCGGCGAGCAAGGCTCTTGGACCCTTTTACGCCTTTTACGAAAGGTCTTCCTCCCATCTTTTTTACTGATCGTTGACATTTATCAAACTTGCGCTTCTTGATGCGTTTATCTTTCATAAGGCAAAGCCGGGTTTGGCTCAGACTCAGTTACAGTTGTTTTGAATTGCTGCACATCACTGTTTTCAGGGACAAATTTTGACCATGTTTCTTGTGTAACGTGTAAATGTCACTAAAACAATAATACCAGTAGGAGCTTATCAGTTGTTGGTATTGCTTCAGGTATAAATTCCGGATCAGACACCCTTTTGTTTGAAGGAACAGAACTGAAGTTAGACCCGACATGTGCTACTTTCATCACCATGAACCCTGGATATGCAGGCAGGTCCGAGTTGCCTGACAATCTCAAGGTACGCGTTTTCGCCATTTTGAGGTTGCACGGGAGACCGGATCGAGATGGTAGTCAAGGTGCATTGTGGGATTGTTTTGGGGATGAATTTGCCGCCATGTTGAAAATGTGACCCGGTCTCTTGTGCAACCTCAAAGTGGCTAATAACATACTAAGTGTACTTGTCTATCTGTAAGTTTTTTTCCTTTCTATTTATCTATCCTCCTGCTGTGTTTTATACTTCTTGCACCGTTTATCTATACGTCATCTTGACTTTCTTTTTTCTTATTGTTCGCAGGCGTTGTTCAGAACTGTGGCTATGATGGTTCCTGATTATGCATTGATCGCTGAAATATCTCTGTACTCATACGGCTTTGTTAACGTAAGTCAAAACTAATCCCGTGGAGTATGCGAACTGATTCCTTTGACCAATTACGACAAATGTAGTTACTATAACGAACCAATCACAGCTTAAAGAAAATACATGCAGCCGGTGTCAAGCGCGGGAAAAAGCACGTGAACAAGTAAAGAAAGTTCCTAGTTAGGTTCTGATTGGTCAAAACAATGGTGTGAGAATTATTGACCAATCACAAGCTTTTACAATGCTTACGTTCTCGTCTAAGGCCGCTGTACATTAGCAAAACAAAAACAGGGTCATAAAACTGTTTCCCCTAGTTCAACTGTTCAAAAAAGCTATGTCCTTTTACTTCTCTAGACATAACCATTTGATCAGCTTGACTCAATAGTTTTCGCGGCAGCATGCTGTTCGTCCTTAATCACCTCCTTTGCCTAGCTGTGAATATTGTTAACTCTTACATTTCCATCGCATTGTTGAGCTCTTTTAATTTTTTTTTTTTTTTTACACCAGGCCCGTCCTCTAGCTGTAAAGATTGTCACCACGTACACTTTGTGCTCAGAGCAGCTGTCATCTCAGCATCACTATGACTACGGAATGAGGGCTGTCAAATCTGTACTCACCGCGGCTGGAAACCTAAAGGTAACATAACCATTACACACACCTCTCTTTTCCCCACGATAAAAGCAAACAAAGCGCATTAATTATGCGTGAATTAAGTATGCGTGCATTAACTATGCATGAAGGTGGGCGGATTAGATCATATTTAATTGCGCTTTACTAATTTTAAATTATCATTTATTCTCTAACTTTTGAGTGTGACCAGACTGAGCCTCTGGCACTCTTTTTAGTTATCTAATTGACAAAATTAGTACTGTCATAAGCTCTTAATTTCTGCTGAAAGGATGTGATATGTTGTCTTTTTTCTCTCACTTGTTTTTGTGTGTTATTCTTTTGCAGTTAAAATATCCTGATCAAAATGAAGACATTCTGATGCTACGTTCTATCAACGATGTGAATCTTCCCAAGTTCTTGGCTCATGACTTGCCTTTGTTTGAAGTATGTTGACCATAAATTTACATATTTTCTTCATGTGGTGTGGTGCGGAAACGTAACTGAATTTTAATATGCTTTGCAGGTTTAGATTGTAGTTATATATCTTGAAGGAAGCGCTTATGGTAGTTCGATGATTCATCATCATCATCATCACCTTACTTTATTATTATCATCATCATCATCATCATCATCATCATCATCATCATCATCATCATCATCATCATCATCATCAACATCATCATCATCATCATCATCATCAACATCATCAACATCATCATCATCATCATCATCATCATCAACATCATCATCATCATCATCATCATCATCATCATCATCATCATCCCTTTCATCACCGACATTACCATCATAATCATAATCATCATCATCACCATTGTCCCTTCATCAGCATCATCATTATCATTGTCAATATCAATATCACCATCGTCACTATCGTCATCATCAACATCATCATCATCATTATCATTATCAATATCATTATCAATATTACCATCATCATCATCATCATCATCTTCATCATCATCTTCATCACCACCATCATTATTATAAACATCATTATCACCATCGTCGTCATCATTATCATCATCATCATCATCATCGCTAGGCTGAGTAGGTCACCTTAAGCTTTATCTAATCACTGCGATCTTGGGCTCGCTTATTTAATGAAAGATATTTACGTTGCGCGTTTTTTGTGATGTAGGGAATCACTTCAGACTTGTTCCCTGGTGTCAAGCTACCTAAGCCTGATTATACGATTTTGACAAATGCTGTTGAAGAAAACTGCAAGGCAATGAACCTACAGATGACTGAACAGTTCCTCTCCAAGATAATTCAGGTCAGTTCTTAACTCCATTTACTGTTATTGTTGTTACGTGATTCTAAATCTCTCTGTCAATCGCTCCAGTCAATATCTCATACTAACAATTTGCTGGGTTTGTTTTGGCCGACCTAGAGTCCCCCGTCAGCCATACTATAAATTCACAACAAGTCTCTTATTCACAATCGTGTTTTACGTGCTAGTAGCTGGAATCGCATAATGAGACACGCATGGCTACAGATTACATATATTCAAGGCTTTGATGCTGAACGTCCGTCAGTAAAGATAAGCAACTTTATCTTTCTCGTAAAAAGCCAACTGGTGTGCCTTTAGACAGTTAGGCTTGTTCGTTGTTCAGTGTTTGATTTTTAGTATTAGTTGATATCCTTACTTGAGGGTGATAAAAACACTAAAGGGTGAAAGCTTTTTCTAATTTATATATTGTTATTTGTATTACAATGGCAGATCTATGAAATGATGATCGTACGTCACGGCTTCATGATTGTCGGCGAGCCGTTTGGCGGCAAGACATGCGCATATCGTGTGCTGGCACGTGCACTTAGTGACGTATCAGAGAAAGGTCTGATGGAAGAGAACAAAGTACAGACAGTGGTCTTGAATCCAAAGGCCATTACAATGGGGCAGCTGTATGGACAGTTTGATCCTGTGTCTCATGAATGGTCGGATGGAGTGTTAGCTGTCAACTATAGGGCGTTTGCTACATCAACTGTAAGTATTGTGCAATACGGACAAATTCGGTTCATTTTCTCTGGGTTGTATTCGCGTAAGGGAATTTTAAGGACAGACGTACTAACACAAAACAATGCCAAATTAAGACTCAATGTTACTGGGGCCCATGGTATGCTAGACTTTCCAAACGTCTAGCTAATTAGTTCCAAACGTTCTAAAGAACTCGATATATTCAGAACTTTTAAGAAACGTTTGCGTTGTCAAACCTCCGGTGAAGTTTGGTTCGTGCTACATATCAATAATGTTTCTAACATAATACATGAGAACGAGTTTGATATGATAAGACGCTGGGGAGCGAGCCAGTCTCTTTAACTGTTTTTGGAAATCAGATCAAACACTCGTTCTCATGTTTGATAGAGCTTCTCAATTTATCAGTATTTCGAATATTCAATGCAATAGCTCGCATAGTATTTGATTTCAACACGTTTTTTTACAAAAGGGACTTCATTTGTTTTTTTGTCTTGAGAAATTAATAAGTTTAAGAACTGTGCAGCCCCAAAACGTTAATGAAAATGCACTTTTGTTTACCAACACAGACTCCCGACCGAAAATGGCTCATTTTTGATGGACCCGTTGATGCGGTGTGGATTGAAAACATGAACACTGTCCTTGATGACAACAAGAAGGTAAATATGTTCACTTAAACCTTTAAAGCCTTAGATCAAGATTTGAATTCTCGTTTGTTGCTCCTATTCATTTCCTACAGAAGTAGTGGGGAGAAGTTGATAAAATATCAAGCAAATTCATCTTGTGTGATCATGTCCGTAATTCTCATGACCACTCTGTTTTACAAAGCATTGATATAATTACAGGCAGAAATTTCACGCTGATTACTCTTAGGGCTTAAAGGGTTAAACCTTACGGTCCCTGGAGTTTTTTTTATCAAACTTCGTGTACCCGACACAGATGACGTGAAACAAAAGACCTCTTTGTTTTCTGTTCATCTTTGTCTGGTACACGAAGTAAATGTCACTCGCTGAATGTCAGATTCAGGACAGTATTCTTGCTTCAGGATCCCTTCCCGCTTCAGCATATCTAAATAGTGTAGTATTGTTTTTTCAGCTTTGTTTGAACAGTGGTGAAATCATTCAGCTTGCGCCAACTACAAACTTGATCTTTGAGCCCTTGGACTTGGAGGTTGCGTCCCCCGCCACTGTAAGTACGATTCTTGTTCTCAGTGGAAACCTGGTTAACTTTGGAAATCCTAGAAAGTTCAGAAAATGCTTTAGATGCCAATAACACCATCCACCACAATACAAAAAAATAAATCGCAATAGCAGGCCTTTTAGCAAAAGGAGCAGCGAAGGCTATGCAACCACAGGAGAACCAGTTCACTTGTCCCCTGCCCAACATTTTGCATCAAAATTGAGCATAAGCGAGGCGAGGAGACCTAACGAAGCCAAAACGTATAAGAGATTAGCATCATATCATCGTCAAACTTGTATATGAGCCTCTGATGTTATTTTTAGAGATTGATGCTTGGCATATTGACCATTGTAGGTGAGTCGCTGTGGTATGATTTACATGGAGCCCCACATGCTCGGATGGAAGCCATTGCTTGTCTCATGGCTCAATACTCTTCCTAAGACGCTTAACGAAGAGAACCGTGAACTCATCAAGGATCTGTTTGATAGAATGGAAGAAGCACTGCTGCAGTTCATCCGCAAGGGAGGGTTCAAGGTAAAGGGAAACTCGTCAGTTAAGTCCTTTAAATCCAATTACAGTGATGTGAGGGTAAATTACCCATGGGGGTGTCCAGTCCTTTAGTACAGGTAACATGCTTATTGCATGTACCTTGGAAAGCTGGGGAGATTATCTGGTAAGGCGTTAGCCACATTAGGTCATTATTTTCGTTGTTTTGTCCAGGAACTCTCTCCCACAACCGACGCTAACATGGTGAAATCACACATGAACCTTATGGACACCATGATGGATGAGTTCCATGATGAACAGAAGTTTAAAGAGCTCAATGAAAGAGAAGTAGCCGCATGGCTAGAGGTATGACTCTTACTAAGATTATTTGTATCGTTTTTGTAGCCTGGGTGGCAATTGCCAAAGTCATTGACTCTGTTTATGTGATCCTAATAAAAGCTACTAGGAAGTACTTTTCTATGGTACTGTTTATAACGCTGGATAATGTTCTAACTTTTCTGTCTTTAGAGTCTAATCGTAATGTGTGATCATCCAAATGAACTGTTTATTGTTTATTACGTTGTAATGTTTGAGTCCGTGGATGATTGATTTTTTTTTTCATTTTTAAATCTGGGAATCCTTTTTATCTATAGAATAACCTCTTGGGGTCCATTGAATTAAGCTTTTTGCTTTCGTTTTTTCCTATTGTAGTGCATCTTCTTGTTCTCTTGTGTGTGGTCGCTTGGTGCATCCATTGATTTTAAAGGAAGAAAGGACTTTGACAAAGTGCTACGTGAGATTGTGGAGGTAATAAGATTTTGACACACCCACGTAGGTAATGCACATAGCACTTTACTGATGCTAAAATTAAACCTGCCCTTTCTTGAAAGAGGTCAAGTTGCACCGTTTTATTTGAAAGTTAATAAAGGACTGTACATTATAGAGTAGAACCTCCCATACGAACACATTCTTGGAACCAGAAAGGGTGTTGTCTACCTAAGGCAGGTTACAACTGTTGGTATGTCACTAGGATTATGAGTAAGAGTGAGCTTACAGGAAGTGTTCATTAGCCATCACTCAGTGTCTGCTTATGTGAGATGACCAGTGTCTATGACTTAGTGTCTGCTATGAGAGCTGTCCATTGGCTAAATGTCTGTTCATTGGAGGTATCTCTTAGCGGAGTTTCGACTGTAATTCCTATATACTGTGGAGGGTGTGTAATGAGTTATTGCTTTTCTTGTTTTGTTCAGGGTCCCTTGTCGCTTGAAAGCAAGAGCAAGTACCACATAATGGAGATAGTGGATCCCCCACCACGCCCTTTCCTGTGTCCCTTCCCGAGCAAGGGAATGGTGTATGACTATCGCTTCATCAAAGAGGTACACAGTGTCATCTATACACCGACAATCGAATGTACATGGCCTTCATCAAGACAACAAAACTTAATTTTTCTTTTTTACTTAAATACGGACAATTAGAGGAAATCAAAGACGTGCTCACACTGCGACATCAACTTAATCTCAGTCTTAAAAGCGCTTGATCAATAAGCTTGTACACTGTACATACTGGTCTATATAGTTGTTAAATCTAGGAGCAATGTTCTTTTCCCGTGTGTTTGTCTTATGATTTTGAATATCCCAAAGTGTAAATGGAAATCATGGGTTTTTGTTTTCGTTTTCAGGGGATGGGTAAGTGGGAGCTGTGGACTGAAGAGATCAAAGATGCTCCCCCTATTCCTAAGGTGAGTTCGGAATTTAGTATTTGGTATATCTACGTCCTATCCGATCCGGTACACTACTGGAACAGCCTGACCTCGAATACTTTCAGGGACAGTAGAGCAATCGAAGCTCGCGGGTGGTGTGAAGTAGCCTCCCGCGAGAACAAACGAGTCGCGCGAGACTACGCGAAATCGCCAATCGAATGTGAACGAGAGTTAGATCATATTAGTGTTCGGCTCCGTCCATGTCACAGTTCTCAGCTATTTTGGGCCACAAATTGAAATCGTCTTCTTTTCTCGAGGACCTTTCTCCTTTTACTAATATATTTAATGGAATAATTTGCTGAATAGAATTGTGATTTTATTTTTGCAGGAGATGGCTTTCAACGAGATCATAGTGCCGACTGTTGATACAGTGCGGTATACATTCCTGCTGGAACAGCTGGTCTCCCACCAGAAGGCGTGTCTGTTTGTTGGGCCTACGGGAACAGGAAAATCTGTTTACATTACTGTAAGTATGCTATAGGCATTATCAATTATCCCTGTAACACTAACATATTATGAGTAGGTAATTTTGTCTTACAGGAGTTATTGGTAATTAAGGTGAATTAGTTGTGTTGTTATGTTGCGCCTTTAAATAAACCTTAAGCCAGGCGGAGCGTAAGCGAGCGCCTCATTCTCCTCGCTGCCAGTTCGTCGCTGCTTGCGCTCCCCTCCATTGCTCTTTCTCAAGAAAACAGCCAGTTTCAGAGGATGAAAGTTGCCGATAACAGTAGTTATTACTTCATTTTCTAACTCCGTGTTTTATTCTCCTACAGAACTTCCTTTTGAAGAAGCTGTCTGACACTTACAAGCCACTGCTGATCAATTTCTCAGCGCAGACCACGGCTAAACAGACACAAGACATCATCATGTCCAAACTGGACAAGAGACGCAAAGGAGTGTTCGGTCCTCCTTTGGGCAAGAAAACGGTGTGTGTCTGTAGACAAAAATCATCAATGATAATAAAACGTTACCATTTGAAATTACTGCCGAAGAGACTTCATTCAAATGGTAACACCATCGGCTACCGTTTTATCTGTCCGGCGATAAGGCGCCTTTTTTTAATCAATTTTGAGAAGTGAAGGTGAAAAATAACTCCTGTCCGTAAGAGACTTATAACGATAGAAAGATGACATGATCGCACCCTAGCGTTAATCCAGAGACGCAAGGGTTTGAAGTGCATAGATTTCTCAGCAACTTGGTTACTCCAAGTGTGAATTGTAGAGACTTAAGATGGGCTCGTACACTCAAGACTTTGTTCCCTTCTCTATCGTGGTCGCATGAGGTCCCCTGAGTGATTTGTTTCTCCTGTGATTGCAGGTTGTGTTTGTTGATGATCTGAACATGCCAGCTCGCGAAGTGTATGGTGCCCAGCCTCCAATAGAACTGCTCCGTCAGTGGATGGATCACTGGAATTGGTAAGCTTTTTTTTCTTAAGCTAGCCCGCTATAGCTTACATCGCGATTACGATCTTCACAACGTGATAGATATGATGGCATCACATCACTATCACGATGTACCAAGCGTTATATTTCAACTATCTCATCGTCATCACTCTCATTAAATTGTTATCGCTATTATCACATCGCGGTCGCTATCACCACATTGCAATCGCTATAATCGCATCGCGATCGCCATCAGGTCATGCGGCGGTCGCGAACACGATGTGATCGTCGCAAAAGAGCTTTTTCATGACGCCGTGATCGCTATTATCGCATCACGATCGTGAATACAAAATTCCCGGTGATTTTGCAGGTATGATTTAAAGGACACCTCTCCAATTCACCTGGTTGACATTCAGATGGTTGGTGCTATGGGCCCACCTGGGGGTGGACGTAATCCCGTCACACCTCGCTTCCTGCGTCATTTTAACACCATCAGCATCACCACGTTTGATGACAGCACCATGATCAAGATATTCGGTCGGATCATGGAATGGCATATGACCACAAGGTACGTTCTACCATACACGTGGGGATGGGTATCTTTCCTACCTCTCCCGGGGCTAAACTCCATTATTCCGTTATCCCAGGGGTAAGCTCTCAGTGAGCATTTTCTGCGATAAACTTCTCTGTGATTTATACTAGTTTGTCCTTCCCCTTGGTATTTATCCTGAGTTGTCGAGCGTTTAAAGATAAGGGAGCCGTTCGTTTGAAAATTGGAATTGGTTCTAAGGCAAGAGCTGCACTCTAATTCAGGAAAAACTGAATTGTCTTTAACTTTTTATTTACCCGTGGATAACACCGGTGTAGAGTTACCGGCGACTCTGTGTGTTTTTTTACGAAGTGCTGTTAATCTCTGTTGTTTCAGGGGTTTTGCCAAAGAATATCTTGCCGTCGGCGAATTGCTGGTTAGCAGTACTTTGGAAGTGTACAAGAACGCCATGGCAAACCTGCTGCCGACCCCAGCTAAGTCGCATTATTTGTTCAACTTGAGAGACTTTGCTCGTGTGATCCAAGGTACTCTCCTCTCCACCCCTGACATTATTGAAGATCCAGATAACCTCAAGCGACTCTGGTGCCATGAGGTATGCTATCTTCAATCCTAAATGATACATAGTAATAAAATGGCGAGAGTGGTTTAACGATCATGACTCAGGAACTTGTGAATCTTGAAAAACGCAGGAAAGACCGTGAAGTAAACTAAACATGGTCTCACTGGATTAATGACTCTAGTCAAAAGCCAACAGTCACCGACAACAGTTAAACCAATCAGAATTGAACGTTAAATAATACATAGTAACAAAACAACAAGAGTGATTTAACGATTAATTGACTCGGAACCTGTGTCATTTGAGTTCCATGCAGAGAAAAGGGGAAATCCTAGGGGGATAAAAAAAACCCTCATAGCTCATAATAAAAAGTAATGCCAAACTGCACCTCCATAAATTTTGGGTAGGATTTGACGTCGTCTTTATCAGGAAGCGGAAAGGAGAAAATTGGTTTAAGGAAGAAATCCTCTTGGGAAGTCCTCTTAGCCGTAGTTGTCTTCAAATTTAGTTGATACGCTTAAGTTTGGTATGTTGCAAGACGTAATGTCAAACGAAAATCAACAAAGATGCTTGCCTGTACCGCTGGTCAAGTGGCCTGTGGGCAGCATCTTTGATCGGGGTGAGGGGGTGGGGGAAGGGGGTTGAGTTAGTCGTTTTGTCGTGTTACCACCGAAAGTACTTTGATTACGAATTTGTCGCCGATTCTTGGACAAGTACCAACCGGAAGTTGATTACGGGATTTGGCCCCTGCATATTTTGGTTAGGGAAGAAGGATTGCCGGAAATGAATTTCTAACCGGAAGTTTTTGTTTAAGGTTTACCGTGTATACTATGATCGGTTGGTGGATGACAGTGACAGACAATGGCTGTTTAACTTCCTACATGAAATGAGTAAACCTCACCTGGGTGTGGAGTTTGACAAGTTGTTTGAACGACTGGACTCCAACCAAGATGGCCGAGTAGAGGAAGATGACTTACGAAGCTTGATTTACTGTGATTTCACGGATCCCAAAGCTGATCCTAAGCCTTATGTTGAAGTCAAGGACTTGGATAAACTGCGCAGTGTTGTGGAGACTTACTTGGATGAGTTCAATAACATGAGCAAGAAGCCTATGAATTTGGTCTTGTTTAGGTAAACATTAACAGCTTAAGGAATAGGCCGTTCTGCAGTTTTGTATTCAGTAACCTGGCCTTTGAATAAAAGCGAGACTGAAGGTATCCTTGTTTTGTTACAAAACTTCCTTTTTTCATATATAAATGTTGATGTTCACGGGAGTGTTGGCATGAGGATAACACGATTTGCCGACATGAAAAGCAGGAAAACTGGAACTAACTAGGTCAGCTCCTGCCTTGCTTCCAGGGTACTGAGCACACAACTTGCAAGATGGAGTATTGATGTTTCTCGGTCAGTGCGAATCAGAAAAATAGTCCAAGTTTTCCCAACACGAACCACACCTGTGACCCACTGTTTACTAGTCTAGGTTCTCTGCGACTGAGCTATAGGAGACCAATGAGAGCTCAGGCCAGTAAATTAGGTTCGTGTGACAATCATGCCTATAGCTAGTATTGGAATGTCGATAGGTGTCTGGAGCCCATCAATAGGAGCCTCTATCGCCATTAATTTTTTGAGCCAACCCTTTCCCTAGGGGCTTCTGTCGCTGTCAGGAATTGTTTCAAGTGATCAAGTAACCTTGCCGTTATCATACCTTACGTCTAATTTTAGGTTTGCTATTGAGCATGTCTCTCGAATCTCCCGTGTGATCAAGCAACCTCGTGGTCATTGTCTCCTGGTGGGCGTTGGTGGCAGTGGAAGACAGAGTCTGACCAGGCTAGCTGCGCATATGGCAGACTATGACTTGTTCCAGGTAATGTTATCACTCTGACCAATCATAATGTATTCAGACACAGCTGAACCAATCAGAACTGAAAGAAAAGGTGTTGACGTTGCGAGGCGCAGGAAATCACCGTGAAGCAAACTAAACATGGTCTGACTGGTTTAATCACTCACCGACAACAGTTAAACCAATCAGAATTGAACGGTTAAGCATGTCGTCAGCGTCAAGCGTGGGAAAACTTGTGGAAGCAAACTCACTCCTAATTGGTTAAGAAAGGGCGGGAATTTTTCTTTTTCGCATTTTGCACCAACAAGTAACCGTGGCATTTCCGAATTAAAGCCAGCACATACAAATGAAAATCCGCCTTAATCAAATTTAATTTCCGCTGTATATGTTCCTCTAACATCTTCTTGCAACTTAATGTGTTCTTCAGGTTGAAATTGGCAAAGGATACACCTCAACCGAGTGGCGTGAAGATTTGAAGGCAATCCTGAGAAAGACAGCAGAAGGGGAAACGAACGGAGTGTTCCTATTTACCGACACACAGGTGAGAATATCTCACAAAACTATCAGCCTGTTCAAGCAAAGACCTGGCGACGTGAAACGAGACCTTGCCAACTCGTAAAATAAGCTGGATGCGAATTCAACCTTTATTCAAAAACAGCTGTTTTAAGCTGGATGCGAATTAATTCCAGCTGCTGATATGTCCGCTGAGTTGAGGCCAGATCGCCACGGTAGACAGCGCTTTCTTATCTTTTTGTTGCGCGTACAAGGCAGTGAGATTATCAGCAGTAGGTTCCAGCAAAGTAAGCCATGAAACCTCTTCACAAAGCTCCAAAATTGTATAGTTGTTAGCTCGGTAGCCTCAACGCCCAGCCCTGTGCTAGGCTTAGTTCAACTCGTTAACAAGGTGAAAACGTTCTGAACAAGCTCTAACACTTCCGCTAGCTGTTTTTGTTTTGTTTTGTTTTGTTTTTGTTTGTTTTTTTTGCAGCTTTTCTCCGTCAGAACCATACACAACACCAGCTAATGTGTTTCCCTGATACAGGGCTATTCCAGTCTGGGATTAAAAGACGTCTCTGTCTTCACTGACTTTTCATACTTTTGTTACCGTTTTAGATAAAAGAGGAGTCTTTCTTGGAAGATGTTAACAACTTGTTGAATGCTGGCGAGGTGCCTAACCTGTTCCCTCTGGATGAAAAACAAGAGATTTGTGAAAAGATGAGAGTCCTCGACAGGTACAAGTGCTTATTTGTTGTAATCATCATTTAGCTGAGGCATCGAGGAGAGAAACATTATGTGCAAACAGTTTTAAAGCACCATAATAAAGAACTGAATGATCCTACTTTAAAATTTCTGATCACAGGCTCCAAATTTACAATTCCTTGTACGGTGTAATGAACAGTACCTCAGCAAAGTACTGCTTGGTAGCTTTCTTTGAATGGTCAAATTATAGCAAATCATCCTCGGACTCAAAAATTATAACTACCTTGTTTACCTTGATAAACTTTACAGTGGAACCCCGCACTACTGACTCTTGCTCAATATGAATACCCGTATATAACGGACAGTTACGTTTGTCCCGACACTGGAAAATGACATATAATTTCTCTAAAAATATCCCCCTTAATACGGACACCTGGATAATATGGCAATAATATAGAAAGAGTCAAAATAACTACCTAATTATTTGATTCTTTAAGGCAACGCGACAAGTCCAAGCAGACAGACGGTTCTCCTGTTGCACTGTTTAACTACTTTGTTGAACGAGTCCGTGACCAGCTTCATATCGTGTTGGCCATGAGCCCCATTGGTGACGCTTTCCGTAACAGACTCAGAAAGTTCCCTTCACTGGTAAACTGCTGTACCATCGACTGGTTTCAGGTAATCATGTTACAAGGGTTAATTGTAGTTAGTGGAATATTTTCCTTGATTCGTGTTATACGCTCTACAATCCTGGAGAAAAGTCCTTGGGACAATAATGCTGTATTCATAATAATTTATACTTTCTGGGTGCTTTCACAAAAGAGTGCATCATTTTCGTAATTGTCTTGCAGTTCTCCCTTCCCCTACCCTACACAAAGTTGAATCTCGGGAAAAATTCTGGATACACCCTTCCAACTTTGTTTGTGGGGTGAGGGCAGGGGTTGGGCTTCTGCGAATTTGAAAACGCCACAGAAATGTAAAAGTGTCCCAAGACTTTTGTCCACCGTTGTAGTTTTCCCTTATGGGTTTCGATCAATGTGCAAGTATGTTGAAACTTGATATGTTCGTTATCACTAGAGTTATTCATTGATTACGGATCCGCGTTCGTCACCAACTGAAAAGAAATCGAGTCGAAAGGAGTCCAGTTTTCCGGCCGAGATGCCCCTGATAAAATTGATAGGGGCGGCTAATCGGTAGTCGCCCGTGATAGCTCGAAAATTTCCTCTTTAATGCCACAGGAACACCAGATTAGAATGCGTTCTGACGAACGCGAAAAGCGCTTTAAACCACCTTGGTTTTTATTTTTCAGTCTTGGCCAGACGATGCCCTTCAAGTTGTAGCTCAGCGATTTTTGGAGGAGCTAGAAATGGAGCCGCAAGTAAAGAAGGGCTGTGTTCAGATGTGCAAGACCTTCCACACTGGAACAAGAAACTTGTCGAAATCATTCCTGGACGAGCTCAAGAGGCACAACTACGTGACACCAACTTCGTATTTGGAACTCATATCAACTTTCAAGAACCTTCTCAACATGAAACAAGTGTAAGCACAACTGTTATTAAGTGTTTCCTTTGGTTTAGATTTCTTGTAAGACTAAGAGCAGAATTTTGATTCGCTTTCAGAGAAGTGTCGATAGTACTTTTTGGATTGTTAGGGATTTTTTGCGATTTGTGATTGGTCAAAAAAATATCGCGCCACTTTCTTAATCAATCAGACTTAATGCGAAAAACAACCACGACTTTTTCACGTGCCTTTCCCCCTCTCAATGCCAGCTTCATGTTTTCACTTGGAATTGTGATTTGTTCATTTGAATGGCTGCTTGCATAGTTTAGTTATACGACAATATTATAATTGCTCTTTGGTGTTAGAAGAGTTGCTAATGTTTTGTTTTATTTTACAGTGAAGTTCTGAAAGCAAAGAAACGATATGAGACTGGTTTGGACAAGCTGGCATCTGCTCAGTCACAGGTAACAAACTTCATTGCATTGATTGGTAATGAAATTCATATCGATTTAATCCCCAGAAAATCGAGTTTCGAGGTCATAAACTCGAGTACCAGTCTCTTTCGTTGCACATGTTGTTACTTGCAGTAACAAATTTAGATAAAATGTATGACAGATATCGAGATCTTAACAGTCTTAGCTTTCTTTTGGTTTCACCGCTCTAACAGTCATAGCTGTCATTTATTGTCAGGTATCAGCTATGCAGGGTGAACTGGAAGCTCTGCAACCACAGCTTATTCAAGCAGGGAAGGAGGTGGATGAGATCATGGTTGTTATTGAAAAAGATTCAGTGGAAGTCGCCAAAAAAGAAAAGGTAAGGAAAATTGCCGGAGTAGTGTAGGAGGTGCTCGAAAGGTCTCTTCTAATTGGTCGCGAGAAAACAATGACATGTCATTCTTCCAATTGTTTTAGTATTGTTTGGGGTCAGGGAAACGCACCATTGGTGACATCTCTTGCGAGCAGCTGCTACATACCCTGATTGCTACCTCTCCTTAATCAATCGATTTGAAAGTCGAAGGTGCTGCTTGCTGCAGAACTGGGATAAGTCTCTGTTGTGTGTACCTCCCACTGGTCCCAAATGCTCCTCCTCTGAACTCTTTAAGTTCCAAGAGTGACCAACAGCAATTTTTTCCGAACAATACCAATACATACTGAAGGGAAAAACGTTATAACAATTAATGAAATAGTACCTAACGGAAAATGCTTTGATCTTTAGACAAATTCTCTCAACTAATTCTTAAAGGAAATGTATGGAGAATTTGTATGTGGATACAGGGGCTTAAAGGGTTCGCGAGAGGTATACGCCGAATATGGTTTTACTTTATGGGTGATTGATTTGTTGAGTTGATTTTGTTCTTGTTTGTTAGGTGGTGAAGGCAGACGAGGCGGTTGCCAACAAGCAGGCAGCAGCTGCTCAGGCTATTAAAGATGAATGTGACAAAGATCTTGGTGAAGCTATTCCCATCTTAGAGGCTGCTTTAGCTGCTCTCAACACGCTCACACCTGCGGTGCGTAACCAACATCATTTCAATAGAGCGAAGTTTGTTGTTGTCCAATCACAACGTGGGCTGTCCGTCCAGAGCCAATCAAAATTCGAACCTTGTGTATGAAGTGGGCTCCAAGCGCGGGAAAACTTGTGCATGCAAGTGACGATTGTTTTCAGTTTCAATTTTGATTGGATAAGAAAGTGGCGTGACACTTTTTAGCCAATCACAAAACGTAAGACTGTAATGCTTTCCGTCAACTGCTTGTTCTAAAAAAGTACTTAGGGCGGGCGCTAACCGCCGAAAAACTTGTGCATGCAAGCGAGGACTGTTTTCAGTGTCAACTCTGATTGGATAAGTAAGAGGCGTGGTGATTGTCAGCCAATCAGAAAACGTCGGAATGCAATGCTTTAACCCCCATTTGCTTGTTCTTTTATAGGATATCACTGTAATGAAGACTATGAAGTCGCCTCCCGCTGGCGTTAAACTTGTTATGGAAGCTATTTGTATCTTGAAAGGAATCAAGGCAGAGAGAATCCCTGATCCCTCTGGGTCAGGTAAGGCTCGAGAAATTCAGTACCGTAAATTCTATATTAAGCCCCTGAAGGCATATATATTGCAAGTACGTATTAGGCGGGGGGCTTAATAGAGAGGGGGCTTATTTAATTAGACTGCAAAACAGTTGTTGTTTTTTTCTTAAAATCGGTTTAGCTTAGCGGAACAGTCTCACGCGCGCGAGCCTCACACTCCCATAGGGCTTCTCTCCCCAGTTTCTCTCCCCGTTTTCAGCCTCGTTCCAGACCTTTTGTTTGAATGTTCGCTCGTCATTGAATACGCAAAAATACGGACTGTTTTGCTGTCTAGCTTAACCGAGGATTTGCGGTACGTGCACTAGGAATTGGAAGGGTTCAGTTGGGAGAATATTCGGTCTCATTGCTTTAGACGAAATCCTATGGAATAGCCATAAACTCTTACGCGTCTAATAATTGACTTGGATTCTTCCACAGGAAAAAAGATTGAAGACTTTTGGGGGCCTTCAAAACGTCTGTTGGGTGACATGAACTTCCTAAAGTCCCTGCAAAACTACGACAAAGATAACATCCCTCCTGCAATTATCAAAACCATTCGACAAAAGTACACTTCAAATGCCGAGTTTGATCCTGAAAAGATCAAGACTGCATCCACTGCTGCAGAGGGATTGTGCAAGTGGGTCGTAGCGATGGAGTCTTATGACAAGTAAGTCTGGCATAAGAATGTCTTTAAAGGGTTAGTGCATGTTTTATTGCGCGTTTTGATTACCGCGGCAGGATAAGCCCAGTCGGTTGAGCGCTTGACTGCAGAGCGGAAGGTTGCGGGTTCAATTCCCGAGACCGGACTAATACTAGAGGTCTTAAAATAACTGAGAATTGAAGTTACTGCCTTTACCTTTCATGCGGCTAGACCTTCACGTGGCTCGGATAACCACGTAAAATGGCGGTTCCGTCTCCAGTAGGAGACGTTAGTATACTATAGTGTCCCCAATTAGTAATTTTGTGCTAAATACATTGAAACTCAAATAAAGTGCGCCAAGGTCCTAGTTAATTAGATAGGTATGTGGCTATCTGTTGGATAACGCTATTGGCAAGAAACTTACTCGTATGCACTGGATAAGTAGGTACAGTCTTCAGCCTTGGGTGTCTCGATGCGCCTGTAGTACTCCCCACCCTACTAGTTAAGCGATTTATCGGGGCCTGGTTAGTCTACTTCACTGCTGTCTTTTGTGTCGTCACGCAACACTCCTTCCCACAAGAGAGAAGAGGAGGAGGAGGGGTGGGGGGAAGCGTTGTGTGACGACACAAAGAACGGCTGTGAAGCAGACTGCGGCCTGGTTGTTCAAACGCTATCAGGAAAACTAATTCCTGTATCCATTGGATGGTGATTTATCCAGTCGATAGCGTCCACCTTTTGAACAAGTTCAATCCCACTAACTGTGATCAGAATGTCAGCATGTGTTTAGAACTAACTACACAACTGGCGGGACTGGTCACTGCCTTTCTGCTTTGGTTTTAGTGGCGACACTCATACGCCGCGAATGATTGTGATTCGGTACCCAAACAATCCCAGAAGTAGCGGAAGCCAGTGTTCCATCTCACAGGGACTAGTGCGTATTGCGGTTCTGTTTTCTCTATGAGCGCTAACAGATCCTCTTAACTGAGTCCAATATTCTTTGTCGTTTTCAGGGTGGCACGAGTTGTGGCTCCGAAGAAAGCAGCTCTGAAGGAAGCTGAAGCGGAGTTAGCTGTTGCTATGGAGGTGAGCGTTTTTTACTCTTGCTCTCGGGTTTTCATTCTCTTTCTGACCTGTTATTGCGCAGATTTCCCCATAATAGCATAGGAGATATGGAACGCGCGCGTTTTGAATGGTGTCCCATCTTTAAGGCTAAAAGGGATAAAGGGAACGAAAAGTAAACAAAAGCGTCTTTGCAGACGTTCCCTTTTCCCCCTCCTCGCGTGACTCTCTCGCTCTCGCGCGCCGGAATTTCCCTTTAATACCTGCCACGCAGGCTACATGTTTATCTCTAGGACGTTAGAGCGCGTGACAAACTTTGAAATCATCATGTGTGCAGTCATTTTCTTGTTATGTCATGTTGCCTTTGCAAAATCTGTCAGTACAAAAGTTTGGGTTTGGTTTAATACGTCGCGAGCTGGTACACAGATAGCAAGTTAGTGGGGCAGGAACGTGTGACGAACCCCTAAGAACTTCTGCGTGGGAGGCTAGTTAACAAATGGAAAACTTGGAAAACAAGTGTTTACTGTTTATGTTCTTGTTTCTTGGTAGAGCCTCAACAAGAAGCGATCCGCTCTTCAAGAGGTTCAGGACAAACTGGCTCGACTACAGGAGAAATACGAAGCTAACGTAAAGAAGAAGGCAGATTTAGAAAAACAGGTAGGATCAAGTAAATGATATTTTTTGTAATTTATTGTTCTTAGTCTTTTTTAACATTTTTCTGTTTTTTTTTGTAGGTTGACCTTTGTACGAAGAAACTTGAGCGCGCAGAGAAACTCATTGGTGGACTTGGTGGCGAGAAAACAAGGTCAGTTTCATTTTTTACCAAACAGTAAAATACCAAAATAAATGCAAAGAAGATCATCGTTGTGAGAGACCCAACTTATGCAATTCCGGATAGAAAATTTGGAAAAAATCAAGCGTGCAGAGATTTGAACATTGGCCTCTTGCGATATCGGTGCAGTGCTCTAACTAATTGAGCTAGCAAACCAACTGGTAGCCTGTGTAAAGACCTTCCTCCACCAACTTCCCCTCAGGAGAAATCGGAGAAGAGGGGTCTGTACACAGGCTAACCAACTGGGGGCTGGTCATTAAACTGGTTTGTAACACACTCGAGAAAGATAGAGGTGAAGTGCTCAATACTTAATCATTTCGCCTTCATCGGTTTTTTAACGCGCGTAGCTCACTCGAAAGTGTGCTAGAGTACTTTACTACAGTCTTCAATGGTACCTGTAGAAAACGAACTTGAGGTTCCTGTAGGGAGTCGACGTAATTCCCCGTAGAATATTCCCGACGACGCTCCACATACCCTTTAAGGTGAGATACGGTATTTTATGGGAAGGTGAATGTATTTTTATATAGTGACGTGTTTGTCTGTACCACCTACTTTTTTTCAGATGGACTGAAGTGGCCAAGCAGCTTGGTATCAAGTTTACAAATCTCATTGGAGATGTGTTAGTATCGTCGGGAGTGGTGGCGTACTTAGGAGCTTTCACAGCTGCCTTTAGACAGGTAAATCTCACAAAGTTTTTTTCTTTTTAGCCTTGGGAAAACAGCTGATATTCCACGTAGCCGTCACTGGTTTCCTGGTCTCCCCGGCAGCCGTTTTTGTCTACGAACGTTGTGTCAAGAGACAAAAACGGCTGTGTGAGAGATTACCGGTTCCCCGCGAAGTGACATCTGAGGAACGAACGCCAGAAATTCTAGATTTTTGGTGGAACGTCTGATTGGTCGTGCCGCGAAGGAAATTATTTCAGCCAATCAGAAGTACTTAACCCAGATCTGGGAAGTAACACGTCATTAGTATGGAGTTTTTCGCGCTCTTTCCTCAGCCTCATTTCGCGAGGAAACCAGTGATGGCGTCGTGGCTGTTTTCTCAGGCTCTTTCCCCCTTTAATTTGTTGACAACGTTCGAGTGGGTTGCGGGTAAGAACAGTCGCCTCTTGCTAATACACGCCATCTTGACTTCTTAAATCGCGCCATAAGTTTTGCTCCATTTTTTCTTTTTAATCTATTTTTGTGGCTGATTTTAAATCGACGAGAGTCAGTATTATGGTGTATTGAGAAAAGGTTTAGGTATTCCTGTCTGCTCCAAGGATTATGCTCTCTCCACCCCCGTTACCATCTTTAACTGTCGTTCCATCGGTAACTCAAAAAGCTTTATTAAGAGGCAAAGGATTTTTATAAAGGCTGGCGTGCGTCTCCTTCAACACCATCATCTTCCAATTCTGTGTAGCTGTTGATCACAGAATGATTTCTCTCGTTTTTTCTTGCCAGCAACAAACTGCAGAATGGGTGGAAGCTTGCCGCGACACCAACATCCCCTGTTCAAATGACTTCTCGGTGACCGGGACTTTGGGAGACCCTGTGAAGATAAGGGACTGGAACATAGCTGGTCTACCAACCGACAGTTTTTCTATCGAGAATGGTATCATCATCAGGTAATTAGCGGTGCTCATTATTCATTTCATACATTCTTCCTCGCCTCAGCCATTCATGTAGGATATCCCTTAGTCTGAAATATTTTACGGCTTCCCTCTCCCCAACGGGACGTTTTGCCTCCCGTTGTGAGGGGGGCAGGTAAAGCAGGGTAATAGACCTTTTTTTCAAAAATACTATAATACTCTTTGTTTTCCCTCCAAAATTTGCATTAGCATTGATTTTAATTTCTCTTGTGGCTTACAATCTCTCCAAGAGAAATTAAAGACAATACTTATGAAAAATTTTGAGTATATATGGTATTTTTGAAAAAGGCCTATTGTGGAATAATTTTCTCAAATTATGAACACAGACAGGAAAAAGAAAGCAGAAAACATCATCTTCACTTACTTTTCAGTGTTTCGAAGTCGCGATGAAACACTCTCCGCGTGTTTTTACTGTTGATTTTTGAGTTTAAAAGCCTCTAATATTTACTTTTTGTTTACAGCAATGCCAACCGTTGGCCATTGATGATTGATCCACAAGGACAGGCCAACAAGTGGGTGAAAAACATGGAAAAGAAGAACAATTTACACGTGATTAAAATGACGGACGCTGATTACGTCAGGACACTGGAAAACTGCATTCAGTTTGGAACTCCGGTAAGTTATTTTGACAACAGCTCAATTGTTTATTTAAGTCGCTGAATGCCTGTCTTTTTCTTGTGTTGTGAATGTTTACTTTTACGCGTTTACCTGTTGTTTTTCGTAAGGCCTTGTTTTATTTTAACCTTTTGCGTCATGAAAACCTACAGCATAAGTACTAGAATGTAATTAGATGAATAAGCAAGACTGGTTCAGTTTTTACACGAAGGATTGTTTCCTCTCTGTTTTTAAGGTTTCTCGAAATGCTCATTTGTTTCTCTCCGCCTTTGCTCAGGAATATGAGCGACTTTTCAGTCTTGATTCTTCGAAGTTAAGCCTATTCGAATAACGGATAATTCATTTAGAGAAAAAAACGTTGATCATAGTTTGAGAAAACAGCCGACATCATCAAGTTTTGCGAGCTCACCAATGATTTCCCAGCGGTGAAGCCTGAGGAACGCGCGCAGAAATTCCATACTGTTGACGTTTCACTACCCAGATCTGGGTATTCTGATTGGCTGAAGCAAATTTTCAACCAATCGGAAGTACAGCCAAGGTCTGTGTAGTAACACGTCATCAGTATGGAATTTCCGTGCTTGGTCCTCAGACAAGGAAACCAGTACGTCTCAAAATATTGGCTGTTTCCTCAGACTACATCATCATTCATCATTCATTCATCAGGTTTTACTTGAAAACGTTGGTGAAGAGTTGGACCCACTGCTGGAGCCGTTGCTTTTGAAACAGACCTTCAAACAGGGCGGCAGCATCTGTATCAAACTTGGAGACAGCGTCATTGAATACTCGAAAGATTTCAGGTCAGTATTCCAACAAACCACGAGATCCTCTCTTGCGGATCCTCTCTGGCTATCACTTTTGTCTAGCTCTGACAATATGAAGATGCGTCTAAGCATTGTCTTTTTTCCCATCGCCCCCCACTCGCTTTTAGATCTCTCTAAACAAGGGTTACTTACCGCAAACTATCTGTTGTCTAAATCGACTGCCATTTGTGCGTCCAGAGTAGGTGATTTTGCATTCGCGTTGCGCGCCTTGTGATTGGGTGACAAAGCTGCGTGATTTTCTTAACCAATCAAAAGACAAAGCTGAAACCATCATATTAAGCTTTCCCACAGATGTTTACCTCGTTTGGTACTGGCTCCTTTAATGTGATTAGTTCATGTTATCTTCTGAACCTGTTGCGATTATTGTCGTTTCGCTTTGTCACCCTTAAACTAAACTCGTACCCAGATCTCTCTCTGTTTTACGCTCGGCAGTTCTGAATCCGTTGAAAGAACCCCGCCCTTCTCTGTACTCTACTCTGTTAACTCGATTGTTGTTGATGTTTTAGGTTCTACATAACAACAAAACTGAGAAATCCACACTACCTACCAGAGACATCCGTGAAGGTTCGTATGTCTCAAGTACCACTCAGCTTTGACACATATTTTATATTTCCCTTTCGACTTTATTTTTGCCCATCAAGTTCCGATAATGCTTAGTGTAATAATTTTATGTATCGCCTTTTAACTACAGGTGACTCTGCTGAATTTTATGATCACGCCCGAGGGACTCGAGGATCAACTACTCGGAATTGTTGTGGCACGAGAGAGACCTGAGCTTGAGGAAGAGAAGAATGCACTGATTATTCAGAGCGCTGAGAATAAAAGGTACTGTTGACTCGGGGGGGATCTAGGGGGAGGGTGCAGGGGGTGCGTACCCCCTCCCCCACTGAGATGATCAGCGGCTTTCTAATACAACTGGTATCCTACAAAATGTGCAGATATGTACGATAAGTATTCTCAGCTGTTCACATTATGTTATTGCCTAGTCAAAAGCCTTCTCCATTGTATTCGCTTTTAAACTTTGTTCACGTCACCAGTCAGATACGCCATTCCTTAGTGATACACCTCCTACTAAGAAAAATCCTTGACCCGCCTCTGTGACTATGCTGTGTACTGTTCTTTTACAGATTCCCCGTCCTTGCTTTCGCATCTGCTTGGGCGTTACTTCTGCTGCTAGGGCTACTGATTAGATAACAACTGTTTCCTGTTTTACTCCTATCTAGACAACTGAAAGAGATTGAGGATAAGATTTTGGAAGTCCTGTCCTCTTCTGAGGGGAACATCCTTGAAGATGAGACTGCAATCAACGTGTTGTCCTCGTCCAAGGTGCTGGCGAACGAAATATCGGAGAAGCAGGTTGGTCTTCACTCTTGTACCTCTCTTGCTTAATGTGCCTTTTGGTTGTCTGTGGTTAGATTAAGAGCCACAGTTGTTGCTTTTATGCATAGTGTTCTCTTTACTACTGGTTTAGGCTATACACGCCGTGTTCATATGACAAAAAACTACCATCATCCTAAATCAGTGTCCCCACAGTTCCAAGTTGCTCAAAGCCTCCGCTTTAAAAGCCATAATGTCTGAAAGTTTTCGGGGTTTGCACTCTTCCGTTTTACAAGTGAGATTTTTCGGAACTCGGAAGTGGCCCAACCGAATTCCTTTCGATGTGTCTTCTGTAATAAGGAGAGAGAACGGTTCATAAATAGGGAACGCCTGCTTGTGTCCTAGTCTGCCACACAGCCGTTTTTAGTGTCGTCACGCAGTTAAACAGTTAATAGTGGTTTTATTTGAGCTATTTTCCTTTTTGATTTAGGCCATAGCTGATGAGACAGAGCAGAAGATAGACACCACCCGTATGGGTTACACACCCATCGCCACCCATTCAGCCGTGTTGTTCTTCTCCATTGCTGACCTGGCCAATATTGAACCCATGTATCAGTACTCTCTCACCTGGTTCATCAATCTTTTCATTCTGTCCATCGACAATTCCGAGAAATCCGAAGTCTTAGAGCAACGGTAAGATTCTGAAAGGGGAAGGATGGTTTCCGATCCCGGGGAGGGGGGGACTCCCTGTTTTGCTTTAGGTGGGTATTTGCCGCTTAACAGGGTGGGTATACAATTTCACTATTTTGCGTAAACAGGGTCAGGGTAGACCTCTACCCAAACTTCCCTTGAGTGCTCCCCCCGGGTCCCAAAAGATTGATGGCACGAGAAATAATAATCTCCTTATTGTCATATCGAGCATTAGTGGTTTGAGGAACCTTCAGTAAAAATTCAAAAACGCACAGCAGAAAGATTTAGAAGATTTTGTATATCTGATGTGCCCCAAACTGAGATAGTTCAAGCATCTTCGTTAGGCCCTACCTACTTCTTGTCATTTCCCTCCTTAAAGCTGATTTTTCATCTTTGAAACCTAAGTAACCTTGCTATATAACTGTGACTGAGTGTTTCAAGTGTGGGATTGATTCTTCCGGTAGCTTATTGATAAATTTACGTTAACTGTGGGGCAAAAAATTGTAGACTTATCTCTACCTTTAGTGTGTATCGAGGTATCATTTTTGCTTTTGTTGATTGTATTCTTTAAGAGCTTGGAAGGGAACACCTTTTCAATCCTTGCAAATTGTAGCCCAAAGTAAAGTAAGGTTTCCATTTTCGTGGGAAAAAAAATTTTTTCTTCGCCAGATTCCAACTCGCGTTCTCGGGATTAGATCTTCTAGTGTTCTGACTGATTGAACAATGGTGGTCTTATATTGGTGTATTAGTGGTCTTATGTTGATGCAATAGTTAACCTATATAGGTGTAATAGTAGACTTATATTGCTGTAATAGTGGACTTAATTGGTATAATGTAATGTGGATTGCGTTTATAGGTTGACGAATCTGACGGATCACTTTACCTACTCACTGTATTGTAACGTGTGCCGCTCGCTGTTTGAAAAAGACAAGGTAAGTTTCTGGGATAATATATTTAATTACCCCTTATTCGAGAAGGATATGTTGAAAACTATCAAAGTCGCAAAGTCGTGAAATATTGCAGAAGTTTTTGTGATGCAGTTTTGGTGTTCGCAACTCCGCCCCCATCATACAACGTCTGTTCAATGTCGCGACATTGTAGAGCTTTATTTTTGCTCGTTTCTGTCAAAACACTTTCAAACTTGGCAGGTTTCAGAGGCGCTCCCTCTAGCAGTGTCGATGGATCCGTATTCAAAATGAAAAATACTTTTAAAGGGTCTAATTTGTTATCAAATTACCTTTTTTTCAGCTGCTGTTTTCATTCCTGTTGTGCGTCAATCTTCTGAAAAGCAAAGGAGAAGTCTGTGATAATGAATGGCGTTTCCTTCTGACTGGCGGAGTGGGCCTGGACAACCCACATTCCAACCCTTCTTCGTGGCTACCGTCGAGGTCCTGGGACGAGCTATGCAGGCTGGATGACTTATCTCCGTAAGTTGCACTCTTCATTTCCCTTTACAACTGCAGTTCCTTAGTCTCGATCGCAGCCGCCCGGGCCGACGTCACGCAATGCTCCTTCGCCCCCACGCGGGTGAGCATCGCGTGACTCCGGTCCGAGCGGCGTCTAAGGAGACTAACAGCCCCAGGCCAGCCAAAATTACTTATTGTTGTAAAAAATCTCCATTGTTTTGTTTTGTTTTCTTTTCTGATCACTGGTTTCTATCTACTGTTTTGTGTTACCTGATATCTGTTTTCTATATCCAATTTTCGTCTTCCACTCTCTGATTTCCGCTTTCTACTTTCTGCGTTCTGTTTTCGGGTTTCTTTTTTCCGTTTTCTCAACACATCACATCGACAATTAGCTAAAAGCACCCACAGTAACTTAGACCCTCCTTCACTTGTTTGTTTCTGTACTCACTCACTCCTTTCTGCACGTGTTTTGTGCCTCGCAGGTTTAAGGGATTCCGACAAAAGTTTCCAAAGCATTTGGAAGGATGGAAGAAGATTTACGATAGTAATGTAAGTAGTTATTGATATATATGAATTTAATCGTACTCTTACAAACTAATAACAGAATCAAGAAGGAAAATAAACTTCCTTAAAGTTTTACAGTCTATACTCTTTAACTACAAATGTTGCTTTTGTACGTTTCTGTAGGAACCTCAGAACGAGCCTTTACCAGGAGACTGGAACGAGAAACTTGGCCAGTTTCAGAAAATGGTGATTCTGCGCTGCCTTCGTCCAGACAAGGTTTGTAACTAGTACACCCTTCATTGTTGGAACGTTATGTTTACTCGACAAGTGTGTATGGACGGAAACTGCGGTCTCAGAAACTTCTTCGTCTGTTGCATTTGGAAAGAATACCCTTTTTTGAGTCTAGCGAGTATGTGCGTAGCTCTTGGTTAGTGCAGAAGAGCGAGAAAAGCTAGGGAGCGAGCGAGCGTAAAATGGCGGGAAGAGAGAAGGGTTTCTTTCCAGCGCCCACGTTGTTTCTTACAACTTTTCTCGAGCCGCCTTCCTTATTTTCATAGAGCCAGAGACAGTCTTGAGTCTGGAAGGAAAGCTTTGCGTCTTCGTACTTTTCCTCGTGTAATTGGTATATAAAATATTTATTACGATCAAACATCTCCTCTGTTAAACATCATAGGACCGAAAATATCCCTTTCACGGCGTTCGGATTCTGCGGTCGGCGCGAAGAGATATTAGGGCGTAAAACAGCGAAGGGGTGGGGTAGGGGGCTGACTTCGCGCTGCACTCCTTTATCTGAATGCTAGGCCTTCCTTCAAATGTCATGCCAAGGATTTCTTTAGTAATTTTGAGTTGTCTTTTGCAAATACCAAATTAGTTTTATGTTTACCTTTCAGATCACGCCCGCAGTACAAGACTTTGTTACTGTCAAGCTTGGTAAGCAGTTTATTGAGCCGCCTCCGTTTGATCTGGGCAAAGCTTTCGCTGATTCCAACTGTTGTGCACCTCTGATCTTTGTACTGTCGCCTGGATCCGATCCTACAGCCGCTCTGCTCAAGTTCGCTGATGATCAGGTTGGTGCGGAACAGTTTTACTATTGTTGTTCTAGACTTTCTTCTCATTCCTCCACGTCCTTGAAATATCTCAATTTGCGGGGCTGCATTTCTTAAACACTTCAGGATTTCACTGGGAAAAAGTGGCAGCTTTAATGATTTTCCTGAACTAATACATATACATATCAAAGTTGAAATAAAAAAGACGTGGAGGGGTCTCTAATCTAGATCTCTTTTTACGATGGAACTGGATCGAAATTGTAAAATCACAGCTCAAATTTTTTATCTTCGTCGTCCCCGATTGTTGAGCAAATATCCATTCTTATTTCAATGATAAAAAATATTCAGCGCGCTAAGGACGATGGGAAGAGGGAAAAGACGGCTCTTCCTCCCTTCTTCCCTTCCCATCGTCTCCCGCGCGCTTTTTTTCTCTCTCCCCAGTCTCCCTGACACCAAGAGACCTCTCCGCAGGAAAGAGTGTCTGTATAATTAGCTATAGGAGTGAATAGGTTTGAATGACAGTCTTGTCTTCTTTGTCCCAGGGTTTCAGTGGATCAAAATTGAGCTCATTATCACTGGGTCAGGGACAGGGTCCAATTGCCATGCGCATGATAGAAAAAGCTATCAAGGATGGCACGTGGGTCGTACTACAGAACTGCCATTTGGCAACTTCGTGGATGCCAACACTTGAGAAAGTCTGTGAGGTAAAGTAATTTTGATTTAGTCTTAACGTTGGTCGTGTGCTTCTTCGGATCATCCACGGGGGTATGACGTAATTTTCTCGGCAGTCTTACAAGATATTCGGAAAATCCGGGAACTAGTGGTTATCGACAGCGCTCGGGAAATCTTTGCAGTATTGTTAAAATTACGTCAAGAGCGTATGCCACTGCGCTAACCTTACTTAAGTGATGAAAAATATTGCACTCTTCCGTGCAGTCAATTTCTTTGTAAGCAAAAGCTTTTGTCATTGTGTTTAACAGCAAGTACTAGGTTATAGGGTGAAGATGTTATATTGAAGTTTTAATAGAGATGAGGTCTAACCGTTTGAAGTTAAGCGCAAATGCGTTCTTCCATCATAACACCCTGAGTTGAGTATAAATGCGGTCGTTGACATTGTGATTGACTCAGTAACCCAGTGCTCTAATAACTTAAGTGATACTCAAATGTTCTTCGATTTCTTTTACTCGTGTTACAGGAGTTCAATCCAGACGCGACACACCCGGACTTTCGTCTGTGGCTGACAAGTTACCCGTCACCAAACTTTCCAGTGTCCGTGCTGCAGAATGGCGTCAAGATGACGAACGAACCTCCGAAGGGACTTCGCTCCAATATCGTGCGATCGTATTTGAGTGACCCCATCTCGGACCCTGAGTTCTTCACTACTTGTAACAAACCGGTCAGTAACGTGCACCAAGTTTTTCTTACACATTTAAGTGTCGCGTTTAGTTGTAGAGTATCGGGGTCGGCCAGGGTTTTTGGGTATACGATATACAGGGGCTTTTTAAATCGGGTATACGGTATATTGCAGCTTAAATACGGGTATTTGGTATATCACTTTCTTTGAATTTCAGGTATAAAGTATACCTGGGTATAATTTTGGGTATATTTGCATGAATTTTGGGTAATTTGGGGTATTTTGGCGAATTTTTTTCGGGTATACTGGTATACCACTACCCCATGGCCGACCCTGGAGTATTGTGGAAAGGCTTTCAAAGTTATAACCACAGACGGAATTTTTGGAAGCCATTGTACAGCATAGTTAACAATACTACAGACTACGCAGTACCTTTCATTTGAATAGTCGCATTACTGGATTTCATCCACAGACTCAAAAGTTATAACCACCTTGTACAGCATAATAAACAGCACGTAGGAAGGAGCTTATTTGTGGCTTTCTTGTAAAGCATGGATACATGTCAAAGATGTTTTCATGTTTTTTTCCCTTACAGAAAGAGTTCAAGAAAATGTTGTTTGGCTTGTGCTTTTTCCACGCCATCGTCCAAGAACGACGTCAGTTTGGTCCTCTGGGCTGGAACATTCCGTATGAGTTCAACGAAACTGATCTGCGTATCAGTGTTCGACAGCTGCACATGTTCATGAATAAGTATGATGTAAGTGTTCTACTGGGATGGTTTAACTACTACTCAAAATATCCACCATTTTTCTTTGGCGCTATGCATGACCTCATAGATGTTTACGACGTCAGTTATGACGTGCAGTGAGAAACAGTTTCACTGTCAGATTCTTTTAATCTCGAAGTTTTCATTGCGAACGAGCGTTACCGGGGAGAATACTAGCTATCTAGCTACATGTCAAAACGATTTTCACTCCTAGGGGCTAGACATTAGGCGCACAGTCAGTAAGTATCCGTTTAAGAGTATTGTCCGTCTTATAGAGAGTCAAGTATAGAGAGTAAAGAAAGGCAAGGACCAACTCTAGGTGTCCGTTTTACAAAGGTGTCCGTTTTGTAGAGGTGTCCGCTCAGAGCGAATCGCCTGTAAATAGAGTGTCTTCACATGACGTTACGGCGACCATATTGGTGTCCCAAAACAATGAAACGGCGGCCATGTTGGTGTCCCAAACCGGTCTGAAAACGCTCTACAGGTTTCGTCGTCACTGTTTTAATGTGGTGCACTTTGTTGCGTTTACAGGACGTCCAATACGCCGCTCTGAGCTACCTCACGGGAGAATGCAACTACGGAGGCCGTGTAACTGATGACCGTGACAGACGAACCCTGTTGACGATCCTGGATAAGTTCTACTGCGCGGACATTAATGACAATGAAGACTACAAGTTTTCACCAAGCGGCAGTTACTTTGCTCCTAAAGAAGGCGACTACGAATCGTACATCGAGTATGCGCGCAGCCTTCCGCTCATTGCGCATCCTGAGGTATTTGGAATGCACGCCAACGCAGACATCAGTAAGGACCAACAGGAAACCCAACAGCTGTTCAACAGCATCCTTTTGACGCAGTCTCGAGCCTCAGCCAAAGGTGGAAAATCCGACGACGAGATACTCTTTGGGGTGGCTGAGGACATTTTACACAAGCTGCCGAAGAACTTTGACACGGAAGCGGCACTGCGGAAATATCCCACCACATATACGCAGAGTATGAACACTGTACTGGTGCAGGAAATGGTCAGGTTTAACAGGCTCACAGAAGTCGTGCGATCTTCGCTTATCAACATACAGAAAGCTATTAAGGTAAATGAACTTTTAGATAAAATGAAGCATTTTTTTATAGAGATCTTGTTAGAAGTTTAGACTAAACTTAGAGTGGAATCTTTATTCCTTTAAAGTTAACCCTCCTTAAGGCAGACGCCATTGCGACGGGAAGTGTCTGCGCGCCTTATAGAGAGTCAGAGAAAATGACTTACTCTAGGTGTCTGTAAGTGTTTAAGGAGTTATTTATTAGAAGAGAACTGACTGTATTACTGAACCCTCTCGCACTCTTCGCTGGAAGTAGTACGTCAGACAACCTCTGTTATTTCAAATCATGTTGCGTTCATTGGGTTAAATGTTGCACACTGCACTTGTGTCTTAAGGAAATCTACCCGAGTTATACGTTTTTAAATTTTTGGCGGAAGAATATTACCTTGCGTCGCATACCTTACCCCTCGGTAGAGACATGTTACCGTTTTCTCTTACCCCTCCCTGCCGGGTATATATTTTGCTCCTTTTTCGACAGGGTATACGCACTCACATGGTGTAGTTTTTGCTGCGTGTTGGGAATGGGACTCACCTAGCCACTTAACCCGACCTTTTATATGTTCCCTTTTCATTGTTCCACAGGGCCTGGTTGTTATGTCCTCTGAACTAGAAGAGGTAGCGAGTGGCATCCTTAAAGGCAAAATCCCTGGTCTGTGGATGAAGAAGTCTTATCCCTCTCTTAAACCACTCGGCAGTTACGTCAACGATCTGATTGCTCGCCTTAAGTTTCTCCAAGAGTGGTATGATAATGGAGCGCCTCCCGTGTTCTGGGTATCTGGATTTTTCTTCACTCAGGCCTTCTTAACGGGATCAAAGCAGAACTACGCCAGAAAATACACCATTCCTATTGATCTTCTAACGTTTGACTTCGAGGTTCTTGACGACAAGAATTATGACACTCCACCCGAGGACGGTGTCTATGTTAATGGCTTGTTCATGGAAGGCTCTCGATGGGATCGAGAGAAGAGAGTGATTGGAGAATCGCACCCGAAAGCTTTGTATGACAGCATGCCTGTTATGTGGCTCAAGCCCTGCAAGAAGGAAGACATTGTTGATCGGCCGCACTATGTCGCCCCAGTTTACAAAACAAGCGAGAGGAGAGGTACGCTCTCTACCACAGGCCACTCCACTAACTTCGTGATGGACATGCGCCTGCCATCTGATCAGCCACAGTCCCATTGGATCATGCGTGGTGTGGCTCTACTTTGCCAGTTGGATGACTAAAGAAGAGTTACATGTATTATTAACGTGCACCCAAGAAAGTGTGATATTCAGAATTAACGTATAACCTGTACATAATCCACTTCGTTCAGTTTTTCGTAGTAAAATCTATATCCTGATATTTATTTATGCATGCGTTATTCAAGCTAGAGTAGCAACAAGTTTGGTCTGTAGGCTGTAAATACGCTCTTACTTAGCACTGACAAGTAGTAAATATAGCTGTTGTAGTAAGGAATGGATTTAACAATACTCCGGGGCGTGTATTATTTTTGACCAAGTTGTGATAATAAAACTTTTTTTAAAAAAATGGTGATTATTTATTAACCTGTAAACCATAAAAGTGATCAGCGTCCTTAAAATCATAAGCGAGCTTAAAGGGAACCTCCACTCTTACTACAGAATAAGTTTAAATCGAATAAAATTATGTTGATAAACAAATTTGTTCGAAATTTGTCCTTAAAAAAGTGTTTATATCAGGAAAAGTGAATTTTAAAATCGCTTATTTTCACTTTCAAATTTCGCGGGCGCCGCCATCTTGAATAATTGTGACGTGTTATGGTTGCTCTATTGTTCTGACACAAAGAGCTTTTGTTTAATAACAATAGGGCAACCGTAACACGTCACAATTATTCAAGATGGCGACGCCCGCAAAATTTGAAAACAAAAATAGGCGAATCTAAAAGTTATTTCTTTCGGATACAAACGCTTTCTTTAAAAACATTTTAGATTGACTTGACTGTAACAGTTATTTCCTGTGATTTAAAGTTATCTTTTTGTTGAAGTGGAGGTTCCCTTTAAGCAACGAGAATGCTGACGTCACGGACGTTATGAATAGCAACCGGAAGTTCGATGTCTGGCTTGATGGACCGCTGCTGTCTCACACAACGAATCAGAATGCCTTCATTATAACTTCCGTTGCAGTGATTTGTCGAGTCAGAGCACTGAAAGAGAGAAAATATCAACTTCCGCTGGCCATTTTTGACGGACGTCATCGTTTTCGTTGCCCATGTTCCCTGTTATCAGCGTCTTGTAACCAATTGGATCACGTATCTTATGAGATTCCCCCCCCTCCGACATCGGCGTTTATATATTCCTGCGCAAGTTGTAAGATTTTTCGCATTTTGTTCAAGATTTTACTCGGGCAAACGGCTATGACGTCATCGTCCTTAATGCATTGCTGCGAAGCTAATGGATTCCTGTAAATTTTATTCATGAGATTAAGTTAAAAGGTTATGACGTCAAAGGCGTAAATGTAGTTCTACGCAAGCCAGTGAGATTCCTGCGAATTAAGACAAAGGGCTATGACGTCATCGTTCCTACGAATTTTGATCATGCGATGAAGACGAAAGACTGACGTCATTGGTGTTGATCTATTTATGTGCGAGTTTGAGATTCCTGCGCATTTTTATAACGCGATAAAGAGCAAACGGCTATGACGTCGTTGGCTTTAATGTATTCCTGTGCAAGTTACTGAGATTCCTGCGAATTTTATACATGAGAAAAAGGCAAAAATTCCTGGTCATACGATAAAGAAAAGGTTATGAGAGTCACTAGCGAAAATGCATTTGCGCAAGTTAATGATATTCTAGGGACATTTATTCATGAGATAAAGACAAAGGGCTATGACGTCATTGACATTAATATATTCCTGAACAAGTTAATGACAAGAAAAAAGGTTATGATGTCACTGGTATTATTGATTTCTGCGCAAGTCAAGAATATGGGGTTATTGGCTTTGATGTTTTCCAGTGCAACATAATAATATTCCGGGGCAAAAAAGGGCCTTATCAGACTCTATTCTACTACTTTTTATTTTGTGAACTTTCCGCCTTCCTTTTACCGCAAGATTTTTTTTTCAACTGTTTGATCTGACGGGATATTTATCGCACGACATCTGCAATAGCCTGTGTACAGACCTTCCTCTCCCCTCAGAAAAAAATCGATTTTTTCTGAGGGGAGGGGGCGTCGGTACACAGACTAAATGTGTAAAACACTCTCACTACATTGATTATCACAATCGTTATCATATTCACAGTCCTCGCATTCAGACGGAGTCATGATCAAAGAGATTGTTCAAGGGTTTTTTCCTCAAATTCTGCAAATTCGGAGGAGACACGAAGGTTATTTTACTAACGTCAGCTTGCTTGTTCATCCTTTGCGCTGCGATGGCCGGAACCAAGCAGATATAGGCAACAATCATATGCGACCCGAGTCTCGTTCTCCTGAGGCCTTGGTGTCCAGGGTATAAAGCCGGATGAAATGTTCAAAGTGAAATAGAAAATAGCCTGTCTCTTTTACTTATCGTTGATTGTAACCTCGTTAGTGTATTGATCCTACTCTTCCCCTCAATGCCCCACAAGTTTAAGATCGTGGATCATTTCCAACGCATGCGCGAACCATATTTTGCCCTCGTACACGTATGCAACTTTCTGGTTTGTCGAGAGTTTGGTTTTATTACTGATTTGTTAGGAATAAGATTTACTTTATTCTTACCCATAAACCTTGAATTTTCTTTAAAAAAATCTATGGCGTTTGATCGCGTTTTCGATTGAGTACTCGGGAAACGCGAAACGAGTCGTCTGAAAGCTCGCGCGCGAAACTCGCGCGCTGATTGAGACTGGGCACTAAAAAAGAAACAAATATGGCGGCGGAGCATTCATAACACGAGTGTGGTTAAATTGGACCTAAAGTGACATTTTTAGACTCCAGGTACTCGTATATCAACTCGATCGGATCTTCAACTTATTCATCAACACTTGGCTTTATTTATGGCAAAGAAATTCGCGGACCTGGCTTGACAGAAGTCGTTTTGTAATCCCATACGGGTTTTGTGAGGTATGCTCGCGCTTTAATAACTAAATGTTTAAGGCTATAACATAGAAAATGGTGGTCTCATGAGCATGAAATATTTAGATAATATTAGTGAATTTATTAAGCAAATGTTTTAAATCGAATCAGGTAATTTTAAGGCAGCCCTTCCCCGAAATTCTACACTCTGAAACCTGTAAGTTGTGGATACCCACGTCACCTCAGTATACAGCTTCGTTTTGCTGTAAAAATGGGAAGAAAGTCTTCAAACAAAGTGACCCATTCGTTCACTTGATATAATATAGGGTGTTTGCTTAATTTGGGGTTCAGTTAAAAGAGGCCCTCTTGGATGGGGGAATTGTTGTCTAGCTAGTACTCTGACAAATTTATGCATTGTATTGTATTGTCCTCACATTACAATATTGTACTTGTACAAAAGCATAAAAATGAAGAATGAGGCAAAACAATTAGAAATTTAACAAAGCTATGCATAAGTTGGTTGGAGTGTTGGACAAGTATGGGGGAGATTTTCAATTACTTTCATTTCCCATTTTGAAGGGTAGGCCATGTCCCTCTGCCCGGTTGGTATATATCCATGTTTCTGTTATTTGCTACGCTACCATTTCATATGTTGCTGAAAAATGTGTAATTATAGGCTACACGTAGGTGTGAAGCCCCCCTCAGAGATCTGGGGTATTAAACTTAACTGATGACATCTTACTCCTTGAGCAAGCTCAACACTCAAGGAAAGTTTGGGTGAAGTGAGCTCCCAAAGCCTTTAAAACTTGACCATGTTTCAGATGAGACCTTATTTATACCGTTGAACCTCGATTATATAGACTTGTTGGGACTTGAATTATATAGTCTGGAAAATTGAGAACACCAACGAAAATATGAAGATGAACATTAATGAAACAGTGATGTAAACATGTGGAATAAAGAAAACATAATTTTATTGTGACTTAGCTCCTACTTGAATTTATGTCCGAACTGTAAGTATTTTATGTATTTTCAATCCTTCACTCATCTCGATGCTGTTGGTTAACTTCAGGGTCTTCTCTTTGTTTTTGCGTATATCTGAGATCTGCTGCTTGCTGATTTTAAACTTGATTGCTAAATTTGCTCCTTTTTTGCCTTTGTCCAAATGTGAAATCATGGTTTGCTTATCCTTTATCGAGAGAACAGACTGCTTTTGTTGTGTAGACATGGCCTTGATTTGAGTTTACGATCGATTGGTCTTGTGTTTACATAACCAGTGTGGAATCAAGCATGACATTCCCTTAGCAACATAACAATAGAGCCAATGAGAATTCAGGTGAATACACCCGAATGATTGGTCATCTCAACCCTCTCGCGCTTTTACAAATCAAAGCAGATTAAAACAGTGTTTTAAACAGATGTTTGGAAGGATTAATGAACTTTTAATCGTTTCACTTTTTCAAGATGACATCTTATTAATATTCATGAAAAAACAGAACAGGGGAAACAAGTCCGGATAATCGAGGTTCAACTGTAATCCTGATTAGTTACATGTTGCATACAGAATTAGGTAATTTTTCATGCTATTATTATGTGACTAGACTACTCATCTACAGCCTTCACACACTTTTAAAGGCTTTCCGTCTAAAAACACACCCTGTTTTAAAAAAATGCCAAAAAGTGGGGAAGAGTCAAGACCCTGAAAACCATACTCTGTCAGGGTTCTCATTAAATAGCGGTAACCAGCTAAAAACTGGCTACTTTAAGGTGACTGAGCCGTCTACCTTTGGGGGAAAGGGGGAAGTGAGGGAGTGAAAGCCTCAGATTGTCTACAGCACTTAATTACCTAGCCTCCAACTTTTGAATTCCTGGGTTCAAACCTTTCACAATCCCATAAACTGTTCATTTGTTTCTAGGCAGAAGAATTTATTAGGGGCAGAGTGGCCACCAAAAACCTTGAGGACGTGGTGGCCATTTGTCCCAAGTTTTTTGATGACAGCACCAATGTGGATCTCTTAAAGGAACAAATAGAGATCTACAATCTTAGTTTGTACGTTAAATAAGTTACAATATACAGTAGATATATCGTGTGCTATACATTTTGTGCTAAATAGTAAATTATTAATTATTTTATAGCAATTCTAGACAAGTCCAGCTAGAATAGTTTCCATGTATGTTGCAAGTGGCAATGGCAATCTGGCATTACTAATGTTTTA